CATCTCTGAATATTGTGGCGAGGTAAGGGTGGAGAAGACTGGTTATGTATGAGTTTGCTTAACCGGTGGCGTTGTGTGCTGGTTAGGGACCAAGAGATTGTCTCTAACTTGGTAGCACGTTTAGACAGAGAGGTGTGATTGACCAAGTGTACAGCTGCTGCTGTCAGAGCCTCCAATCCCAGGAGCTAGACAGCTGAAACGTCACAAAAAATTTGACATCTGTTCTTGTGAGGATGAGAGGCTGGAATGTCATTTTGAGCTTAGATGTAATTTCAATTCAGACATGCCTGGAATTTTGTGCAAAATCATTTAGTATAGTACTAAAATTCAGTAGATGCTTTCACTAATTTGTATTTTAGAGTAATAAAACCATGAATCAGGTATGCAGTCTTGATTTTGAGATGAGAAACAATTCTTGCTTTCCCTTCTGCTCTGAAAGAACTTATACTAAGAGCAAACCATGGTTGTTTGATAAGTGCAGAATGCTTGCTGAAAACAGAACTTTGTTTGGGAATATTTTCAGTCCCAGAGATTAAACCCCGCCACCTTTCTTTTAGAATATCTGGGGGTTTTGACCTTAAGCTGCTATGGTTACAAAAAGGAAGCAGCAGGCTCTTTTACATGTATTGTATCTTTCAGATTATTTCTCAGGATGAGGCAGACAGAAGAGGAAAAGTATATGACAAATACATGTGCAGCTTTCTGTTTAACTTGAATAATGGTATGTATGTACTAGTCCCAATCCTTGCAGCATAAATAAAATATCTATGCTCACCATCTTGTTCAGCTGTGTTCTTTTGCAGGCAGCAGGTAACATTGAGAAATTTTTTCTTCTGTGCACCTTTTTCTAGCAATGCGTGAATTCCTAATATTGATAGCTAAGTGCTTTTTTTTTTTTTACTATTTTTATTTTTTATCCCCCCCAAATGCCAGTCAACTAGGTAGTAGTGATGGAGCCTATTTATTACACAAACCAAGTATACAAGATGAGTTGTTGAGTAGAATTTCATGGAGTAAAACTACATGCAAGCATTAAATAAAGTAGCCTGAAGAATTTAAAAAGCTTGCTAGGTATTGTCTGAAATAATTTTACTGTGACTTAAATTAGCACTAACATATGATGGTAATTTTGTGTTGGGGGGAAAAAAGCCACCCACAGATATGTGGCATGTGGCTACTGCCCCTTGAAAAATAAACTGCACTGTGTCAAGTGTGGAAACTAGAAAATATTTGAAAGGAGGAAAAAAAAAAATCTGCTTTATGTCTTGTTGACTTAGCATATTTATGGAGCTTCTTCTTGTGGAATAATGGTAGAGAGGCTTCAAATGAGAAACTGAGGTCATGCCACTGTGGCAGGAGATAAATGGGAAGTGCAGTGTGGGGAAGCGGGAATATTTTGAGTATTGTAGAACAATACAGCTATTGTAGGATGATGTGCCAGCTCTTCCTTGTGGGAAGCTGAGCAGTTATCTCCTCCACCTGCTAAAATCTGAGCACACTAGGTATTAAACACAAAAATTTGCTTGTAGGTGACCTATCCATCATTTGTGTTTTTCTCCCCCCTTAGATTTTGTGGTTGATGCAACACGCAAGGGCAACAAAATTAGATTTGCAAACCATTCAGTAAATCCCAACTGCTATGCAAAAGGTAAGTTTTAAATTTTCATGCTTTTAGTAATGTATGAAATGTTGTGGGATGCTTACTGAAAAAAAAAGTGTTTTCTAAATATTTGTGTTAACGTGTACATTTTAAATTTCTTTTAAACAGTTATGATGGTTAATGGTGATCACAGAATAGGAATATTTGCTAAAAGAGCCATTCAGACTGGTGAAGAACTGTTCTTTGACTACAGGTTGGTAGATGGATTTTGTAACTTCTTCCAGTCATAGACTGGATTAGCTTTCAGTATTTCTGCCCAGTTCATAATTAAATTTTAGTGCCTACCTCCTTATAACTGTGGGTCTTAGCAGCTGAGCAGCAATCCCCTTGCGTTTTTATTTTTTTTTTAAAGCCAGCTACCATAGCAAGACTGAGGTCAGCCAAGCAGCTGGTCAAGAGCCTTCCAAACTTGGAACAGCAGCTTGTATGAGAAGTTTGTATGAGAAAAGCTTAGTGACAAAAGGGGACTGACCTGCATGCCTCTTCCAGGTGGACCTGTGTATTACATTTTTATCTGGTAGGGCTCCCTAGGTACCAGTCTGGGTTCTCTCTCCCACCATTCAGAAATGGGCAAGAAGTTCTTGCATTGTTATTTAGGAGTGCTTGCTATGACTGTGTTCATACTTTCCTCTAAAATAATCTCATCTGCAACTAAGCCTCCTCTGTAAGTCAACCTTGAGAAATGCTGTTGCTTTCTACTAGCTAAAATGAACTTTAACATTGTGAGATTCAAAGCAAAGAGTGGAATTTCAATGTTTTGTTACTTCTTGGTCAATCATCTTCCCTAAAAGCAGTTTCTAGAGTGGTCAGTGTTGTTCCACATCTGCACATTCACACAGGGAATTAAGGCCCCAGCTGGTGAGAGAATTGTGGGGTATCAGAGAGTATTTCAGGCTGTGGTACTGTGATGTCAGAACAATGCAGCTGAAATGTTCAGTGTTGTTATTTTTTTTAATTTCAGATATAGCCAAGCTGATGCCCTTAAATATGTGGGCATTGAAAGAGAAATGGAAATCCCTTGACACCAGCTACCTCCTCTTTTAAACAAACAGCTGCCTTATCTTCAGGAATTTCTAGTACTGTGGGCAATTTTAGAAAAATAAAAATGATGCAATTTGAAATTCTGTATTTGCAAAGTACTGTAACAGTAATTTATAGTAACAAATTTAAAAACCCCAACTTTTTATTGCCTTCTCACCAGCTGCAAAGTGTTTTGTACCTATGAACTTTTGCAATAATGTGGTGTGGTACATTTTTCAACCTTGAATAAAGGATACTTGAACTTCTTCATTTTTACTGGAACTGAGTTGGAATGTTGTGTCGGCCAGGTGAGGAAGCGGTGTGTGAGTATTTCTTTCAAATTCTGAGCAAAGGCATCTCTATACTTGTCTACTACTGTTACTTCAGGTCACATTTAAGATTAATGCAAAGATGTAAACTGTGTAGGAGACAGGCCGATGGTGGAACTCAAGCATACAGCACCCAACTCCAATAGCCATGGTCTTGCACCCTTGTCATGAAGCTACACTCATGTCCTCTGAAGAGATGCATGCAGTTTAGAAACCCCTACAGCTAATCTCTTGTCACAATACCAACTGCACTTTAAAAAAAAAAAACCCACAAAACTTTTTCTCTACTTTTGCTACTTGTAAGGGCTCTGGCCACTAGTAGTAGATGCATTAATGGGAGGAGAAAATAGCTGTGATGTCCTACTTTCAATACAAATTTGTGGTACAAGGTTTGCTGCTATCTGTAACCCAGCTGTCCAAGCAGGTGCCATGAATATCTTCACTCTGTTCACTCAGTGTGGAAATAACACTGATGAGGACACACTTGCATCATTTGATAAGGGAACTGGCAGAGGTATTCCAATAAATGGGAACCAGCAGTCATATTCCAATAAACTGGAACCCTCAACTGCAGCTTTGCTGAAGCAACAAACTGAATGCAACAGCAGTCACACATATGTTATTCATCTGCATCTCATTTATCTGTAAGCAACCACTGTTTTGCTTATTGGTACAGTTACATATACAAATATTGTAGTAAGAGATAGTAACATTTTTATCCCAAATTGTTTAAATTGTTTAGATTGCAGCTTGTGCACGTGTTTGTTTCTGGAATTGCCAGCTGTGGGGGGGGCCCACAGGCACCCACTATTGCAAAACTGATTTCAAGAAATCCCATCAATAATGACCAGGTACCTTCTGCACTGAGGAGGCTCTAACTCACTTGCCCTGTTGAGCACAACCTAAAGCAGCACTGCCTGCGCTTCCCCACTCTCAAGTACAGCAGGCAGCTGCCAGACACCATCTAGCTCTGTGGTGGCATAAGTAAGAATTAAGAATTCATACCCCTCATCTTATTCATAAGAGAAAAAAAAAGTCCAAAAGTCAAAACTTGTTTTCTCCCTGCTTGGGTTTTAAAAACAAAGCTCTGCAAGAGACAGCGTACAAAGTATACAAAGCAACGCCACTTTAACCAGTGGTGGGTTAATGTTGAGCCTTGAGAGGCAGCTCAAACAGGTTATTCTGCATGTGAACATCATTCAGCCTGCTTCTCTGTCACTGTACCACTCTTACATCCTGCTACAAAAACCTACTAGCACTAAACTTTCTGCAAGAAGGGTTTACAAAAACAAAACAGCATCTTAAAAAAGAAAGCAGCCAACACAAAAAGCATCACAAGCTCCATTCTTCTAAATTTCAAAAGGAATTTGAAAGTTGAACAGCAAGATGCTCCTATTACCCATACTGGCAGACTTTTGTGTAATTAAAGTTCTTTCTTTCAGAATAGGAATAGCAAGCATGCAAAATCTCAAGTGGGGATAAGACTTTTCCCCCATTTTCCAAACAAACCAGTTTGGATCACATCTAATACTGCTCCATAACATTTTATTTTATTTTTTTAAACCCAGACATTTTTGTAGGTCAGAGCTCAATTGTAACCATGAAAAATGAGTTTTCCTCAGAGAAAAACAGTATCAACACAATCTTTAGGAGCACAGTCCATTTTCTGTTCTAGTCAAAGCAATGGGCAGCCTAAACCTTATTCAGGGCAGCATCTAGGCAAGTGTGATGCAATTTTTAGCATACTGAACAATATTAAAATCAGTTCCACTTCCAGATGACCAAGTATTGCCACATATGTTCTAAGTTTTTTCTATTCTGCATATCTTGTAAAATCATCACAACGTTCCTTTCAAAGCACAGACATTTCCTCTTAAAAAAGAAATAACATGCACATTTGAAGATAGATGACAATTTCTTCAGAGAACAAAATGTACTTACATAAATCACCAGAAAACAGGGAAAAGGAGAAAAAGCAAAACAAATTTCTATAGCTTTCATAACCATTATACCTTTTATTTACATTTAGAAAGATAAGTCATGAAACTTAAAACAATAAAACCAAATGCAACTTGTACAGAAATCTTTTAATTTTTTTTTATTTATCACACATTAAAAAATGAAACACACTATACAAATGGTTTTTCATAGCAGATTACACATGGGTCCATTCAGACTCGCTCTCAAAGTGCTGCCAACATTTAAGTGCTGCCTGTGATGGCAGCTGTTTATCATATAGCCAATGTATTGATTTAAATGCAGTAGCATGCAACCCTTAAAGGAGAAGGGTTTGATTCCTTTCTGTTCTTAAATTAGGTTAAATGGCATTGGTGTCCATATTTACATACTTGAAATGTATCAATCCTGAGCAGTTCTGATGTAAATCTGAGACTGGCTGATGGGAGTCCTGGTCTCAGTTATTAAAAAGGGAGGTCCAAATGGCAGCAGGGTGGCTGCTATGAAGTTCCGTTGCTTTCATTCTTTCCATCACATACCTATTTGCCGAGTGTCACACAGTCAAGTAATTGCTAATAAAAATGTTAAGCCAAGTAACTGTAGGTGTCCTTCTCACCATCCACACGTTCCAAGTACTCCTTCTCAATCAGAATGTCGATGCATTTCTGTGGGAGAAACAAACGTGAGCTGCAGGATACTGGCAGAAACGCCCTCTCTGTGGTTGCTACAAACTTTGAACGACTCTGGCCACTGAGTTTCATGCCAAGTGGAAGATGGGAGTAGGCCAAGGGCACAGACCACAGCAACTCGTTCTCCCATTTCTGACCACATCTAAGCAGAGGACTTCACTAATCCACTAAACCAAATTATGCTTATTTGACGCCATTCCAGGGTAGTGACTTGGAGATCAACTGATCATCACTATGCTGAGCAACTTCATAGTAAGACAGCAAATGAAGAGTTAAACCAAGATGCAGAGCACCTACCATAATGTTACTAGAGATAGCACTTGCAGTAACTAGCTGCCTGTTTCAGGACTTGACTGGGTGCACCTCTTTCAGGACCGGTGCCAGTTTATGCAACTGCTCTCCACTGCCTGGTGTTTGCCCCACCCATCCCCTTGGTTGTGGATGTAAAAATCATTGGTGGGACCTCTGAACAAATGATGAGGAAACCACAATTAAATACAATCTCCCCCTGCCCCCAACCATTTTTATTCTATAGGAGATCAGGAAACTGTTCTATTGAGCCAACCCACAAGCAGTGGTACTCCCACAACTTAGGAGAGCAGGAAGAGGTAAGCCTGGCTGCTGTAAGCTGGCGCTGATGTGAAAAGATGCAATCAAGCTCCTATTTTACCACTGCCTACAACACAAAACATGCATATTACCATAAGAGAATACAGTATTTCTGGTTAAAGTATTTCCTACTTATTTACCACTCCAAAAATCTGTCTTTACCTATCCCATCTCCTTAGCTTCCCTTTTTAATTCAGAAGCAGGTATTTTGTCTATATATATATATATACCCTCCTCACAAACACAGGTTCAGAGATGTGGTTCTCACATACCTTAATTACTGGAACTCGTGGCTTGAACCTTGAGGACAGCTGTGTTAGCACTTCTCCAAGCAGTTGTTGGTGTTTTAGAACCTTCCTCATTTTCATGATTCTCACAATAGCAGCCTGCACAGCAAAATCAGAAGGGTGCGCTTAGGAGCAAACTACTTGTCCTTCTGGATGAAGCCATTTTACTTCCCTAGCAGATCATGTCTGCTAGCACAGAAGCATCACCACAGCAAACCTGAGTACCAGACGGGCAGAAGCGTGCCTGCAAATGCCAACTACTCACAGAAACCTGAAGAACTCTGATTCTACACAGCATACAGTCATCAGAAGTGGTTTTGACATGTGAATTTTAAGAACTACTCTGCTTATGGTCAGTCATAACAATAGTACCAACTGGTACCAAGAGCAACATGAAACTCCTTATATAACAGAAAGCTGGCTTTATATATTTAACCTTACTGTGACACTCTCTTAGTAGTACATTTGTATTTCCTTCCCCAGCCCCTTTGCTTCTCAAGTGGATTCCAAATGCACTGACAGAAAAAACACCATTAAGTTAGTATTACTTGTTTTCACCCAGGAGAGAGGTGTGGCAAGTGTGTGCAGCCCTGGAACCCAAACACTCATCAACATGACGTTAGAACAAATGCTCACACCTTTCTACATTTTCTATTACAGACTCCAATCACCTTTAAGAGTACTGTCAATACACTTTTAGCTCCAACAGAGTGCACTGCAATGGCGTGTTGTCTTTTAATAAAAATTACAAAAGCCTGCAGTAAGCTTCACTAAAGGATTACAAAGCAGTAATTCTAAGTTCATAGCACAGCAGCATTTTGCAATACAAGTCACCTGAATCAGTAGTTTCCGGTCTTCCTCTATATTTTTGTGTGTAGTTTCTTGCTCCTGCTTCTGTTCAGTCTTCATTGGCACATTGATGTTTACCCTTAATTTTTTGCTGTAAAGAAATCAGAAGTTAATAAAACAATTAGCCTGTTTAAAAACCAATCAAAACAAAAAAACCCACCCCAAAACCAAAATCCCAAACAAGACTCCACTCCAAAACAAAAGCCACACCAACGACAATTACTTTACAACAAAAGGGGACTTTGTCTAACATTTCTGGAAGTGCCAATCTTGTTCAAGTTTAAAAGAAGAAAAAACAAAAAAAAACCCCACCCCAACAAACCAAACACACAATCAACCAAAAAACCAAAATAAGTTTTTGGTGGTTGTTAGTGTATTTCATGACTTACTGAATCCAACCTAGTGATCTGTTAGGCCAAATTAGTGCTGTACAATAAGACTATTTTTGAAACATTTCTACGTTGAGTAAGAAGCTTCCAGCCAGTGAACAGGAGAAAGAAAGTCAGTGGAAATAGAACCGCCTTTCTGATTTACAGATTGGATTCTGACCATAAAGTGGAGAAATCCATTTTATTCTGTAAAACTGAATTCTGCTTTTCTTTCACATGCTCCCCAGCACTCATGCTTGTGGTAGGGTGAGCCCACTCCCACGCGTGACTGCTCTCAAGACAAGGTGCCGTGTCACAAGTGAGGAAGGAGCCTCGGCACCAGGGAGCACGGGGTAGTGCTCAGCCTGCTGGCTGCGCTGGGGAATGCTGCGGTGGAGAGGGAATCCATTATTTATTTAGCATAGTCTGGTGTGTCATAAATTGGGAACCGGCGAGCCACACAGTGCAGCAACGCTGAGCTGTTTCCACCACTGCATTAACATAACCAACCATGAATTCTCAAACCTTGAATTATTGGTCCAGGAGGGAAGAAAGCAGATAAAGACTGAGGTACAAGGAAAGGTTTTAAAATGTTTCTTTCACTTGAGATCTTATCTTCAGGAAGTACTGAACTCACTGAATTTATCTGTGTTTACGTCTATGCTCTGGTAAGCATGATAAAAAGTCACCACAGTACTGTGAACAGCTCAAAAATATATGAACATTGAAAGCAACACTGGTTAAAGTATGTCATAAAACCTACTGAAAATGATTTATTAAGTTTTCAAATCACTGTACACTCTGAAGTTCTAAAATGAGCCTGCTGATCTTCTCATATTCTCTCTAGTGGATGAACATTTAAGACTTTGACCTTTGCTGGTCACTGTACACTACTGTAATCTTATAAAATATGATGTATTTTGCTGAGTACATGCAAGCCATGCACTTTGGTAAAAACCAGCACAATTTCTTACCAGAAATAAATTAGACAAGAATTAGACAAGAATCAAGAAACAAAGAGGACACATGAAAATATGTTCAGGCCTTGATAGACTATGACAGTCAGATAGCTGAAATCTTACCCATCCCCCCTACCAGTCAACCCTCTCCTTTAAAGCTGATCTATATTTTTGAGTTGGCACTTGAACCCTGAAGCTTTCATCCCAACTATACTAGGTTTTACACAAATTCTGAAAGCAGAGAAGGAGGATGTAACCCATTATACACAAGTGATGTATGCTGCTGAAGTTTTTCCTTACTTTTTATAACCAAGATACAGTTTTATTAAGGTATCTGGTTTTAGCTCCACCTCATCAACATTTGCATTTTCATCTTCCAAAACCTGCAAGAAATAAATAAAATAAACAAATAAATGAAATTCATTAATACATTTTGCTGAATGTTAAGCAGGTTATAAAAAAGCAGGAGTACTTACAAGCAATTTTGATTTCAACAGTATCTGTAGAACTTGTGCCAAGATATCCTACAAAATTACAGAAAATATCATCAGCGCAGACAGACAGCACCTTTCTCGAACTTAAAATACTTCAACAAGAATACACATATTTAGACTAAGAACTAGTGAGTGCAGAACACTGCAAAATGGGGGTGGGGGAGAACACCCTTTTTGGGTGTTAGGACATACTCCCCTTGTGGTCAGCCAAACAACATCAAATTCTTTAGAAACACTAATTCTAAATAACAGATCTTTCCAGTTGCTGTTTTAGGAGCTATTTGCAAGCAGATTTATAAGTGTAAGAAATATTTTTTCCCAAACCATGCAAATATAGATAGCATGGCAAGCTTAAACCTCAGAAAGCAAGCACCCTCTGCTTTCTGATTAACATATTTTTCTTTTCTCGCTTACACCAGGGATCTGTTCTGGTTACTGTCGCTGGTCAGCCACACTACTCGCTACGCTACTGTCACGTTCTGTGTGGGCTTGCAAAGCTGCTGTTTTACTACAGTGGAAATCTTCCGGGTTTCATAGTTTTCAGCTGTATAAAGGGTTTTATTCTAGTACAACCACACTTTGGGCCAAATATTTATTTTACAGAAATAGATACATATATGTATCTGCAAACAAGCATCTATAATAAATGGCAACCCCATAAGACTTCTGGGTTTGCTGTAAGCCATCAGTAGCGTTAACTTTCTAGATAGGCATTTCTAAAAGTAAAGATCTCACTGAAAAGGAATTGCCTAACTTTCCAGAAGTCCCAGCAGACTTGATTCAAACCTACTAGCAAAGGACACAGATGCCAAATAAACTGTGAATCATAAAGTCTACTTGGAAAGAAAAGGAGGGAACCTACTTCACAAGAGAGAGAGCGCCAATGAAACTGCAGATTACACTATGTTCATGTATATAAGCCTTGAGATGTAAATAAGAACGGATGCATAGATCAATCATCTCGGGAAAATGCTGTTTTTCCTAGAATGTTGTCTTTTAATATTGAAACGTATGTAGTGAAACACTGAAAACTTACTACTGGAGCTCAGCACTAAGTCATGAACAGGAGTATATACACACTAATATTCATCAGAAGACCAGGCAGTTATGATTACAGGAAAGTAAACCAGAAAAGTAAGTTGACCAAGAACAGAGCACATCTGTTTCCTCCAGGACAGAAACCGACTCTGGCTTCAAATGTCCCAAAATTCCAATTTCTTATGGTAGCAGGAAGAGCCCCAAAGACAAAAAGACTTTTTCACAAGAGTGTGGTAAAATGTGCAAAGTTACTACCATTTTTATTTGAGTACTGTCTGTCAGCTGCTGCACAGTATAGGCATCTTCTGTGTTGTACTGCAGTAAAATCGCCATCTGGAATGTGGATGCCTAACAGATCAAAAAAAAAAGAGATTGAAAGAGAGAGGGTGTAAATCAGAAAATGAGAATGAACAAACATACTTTCTGGATCTGAACAGCCTGAAATTCACCAGTTAAAGACATATACTGGAATATTCGGACAACAGAGAGTAGCCAACGAGTGCTAATCATTACACAATACAGAAAAAAATCTGATGTGACTTACACAACCAGAACTCTTCCTTCCAGCATTATCTAAACATAAACCCTAAGATTATGATCATTTAACTAGCTGCAGACACTTCATCAAATCTCCTATTATGATGTCAAAGCCCTATCTTTCTACTAGCTAATATAATTTTAAATTGTTTTCCTCTGTCACTCCCTGACTCTTACCCATTTAACCTTCATTAAAGCCTACATAGGCTACCGAATTCATCCTCACAACCCTCCCAACTCCAGTAGAATAATGAAACCGTATTTATAAACAAGGCAGCCATCAGTGGCTTATTCATATCTATAACCACAGGGTTAACATATGTTGATGACAAGGTCAAAGTCTGGGCCTATCTTGTTTCTTCTCACTGTTGTGAACTCCCCTGCTCTGTCTACTTTTTGAGAGAAAGTAGACAGGAAAGTATAAGAAGCATGAGATCTTATGCAAAGAGGTTGCAGTTGTCTCACACAACACCGTTCAACACCTGTTTAAACCACAAGTAATGCATTCCCTTTTCCACATCAATTTTCTTTTAAACATAGATCTTAAGTATCAGTACAGTAAATAAATAAATAAATCAAACATATAATAAAGGATCTATTAATCATAACACCAACAACCATCTGGGAGGGCTAGCATTTATGTTCACTTCAGTAACACACAGCTCTGCAACCATCAGGTCTTACATCTGTGCTTTCCTTTATTTAAAGACAGTAGCATTATTCACAGGAATAAAGCTAATGAATGCATGTGAGCATCGTAAATAGTAGCTAAACATATATAACATACATATGAACGCACACACTCCCAACCATTAAGGAATTGAATCATTTAAAATATTGAATTGTGATACATCATTACATACTGTTAATGAATATTTTGACATACAAATAAAACACAGCTCAATTCACTGATGTTATCTATTAAAATAAGTTTGTGTGCAGGCACAGGTATTCACATGAACTCCACTACTTCAACATCTACATACTTCACCATTTTAAACACATTTATCTGCACAATGGCCCTTTAAAGTAAGGAAAAGCAATTACCTCCAAATGACGAGTAAAGAGGCTGAGCAGCTCATCCAGCTAACATAAGAGCAGTGGAGCAGAGCATGAATGTGTGTCTTTTAAATGATCAGCTACATCCAATTCCCTGAATGCAATCAGCACCAAGTGTTTCTATCAGCATGACGTTATCCTTACCTGTAACGTGTATCTATTTTTGAAACAGTTGGTAACCAATTCCCCTTTGGATAGCTGATACAACCATGTTAATTTTCTTCCACTATGACGACTGGCATAAAATGCAGTAAATCTCTGATAGCTCCGTTCTAACTGTATAAAAACAACAACAACAAAGGAAGAAAGAATATTATTTACCTTCATTTACCATTACTAGAACATGCTCTGGAATCAACAAAGGAGAATCAAATATGATCACCCATGACTGCCATGCTGTCTGAATAACAGAAACAGAAATCCAAAGTATTCAAATTCTTCAGACTGGATTAAAATTCTCCTCGGTTATGAGTTTCCCCTTTAAAGCATCATTAACAATACAAACCTAAATGGGCATTTAAGATCCTTTTTTTTCTTTTATGATACATTAAGCAAGGCTAGAAAGGCAATTTCTTTTAACCACCTTCATCCTCCAGGTAACAGCAGTTAAACTTATTTCTCACGTTAAGTGTTCATGTCTTGTCTATTCTGGATAAGCACTCAACAGAAAACTAGTGATTATAATATCTAAAGGTTTTACTGGACAGAGTCAAAGCAACAGCAAGAAAAAAAGTTTCTTAAATAAAAGTATACATGGAAAAATACACTAACAAAGATTTGCTTCGGTTACTGTTGAATGTTTTGAAAAAAATATTCATTAACCAGGGTCTTTCCACTAAAGAAAACAGTTATATTTATTTCACACATTCCCTCCTACTGCCTTAGTAACTTATCTTGTTCCAAACATCATCTAGCCAAATAGGCAAACACCAGAGACACTTCCAATCCCCTCTGACACACAACAAAACAAGAGGAGACACCAGCCTTGTAAAACAAATTTCTCACATGACCATTCCCTGGTTCAAATGAACCAAGTGCAAGCACCTCACCTCAGATGGCAGAGCAAATGTGCAGGACTGCTGGAACGGCCACGATCCAGAACTCAGCACCTGGATGCTGAAATCCACTGGAAGAGAGGTGAAGAGGCTGAGCTGCATTATCCCCCGTGCTACCACCCCCTCTTCAAACATGCAGTCCCAGTTCTAACAAACAAGAAATGGTTCTGTTTTTTGCTCTAACATGGTGAAAAATCATTAAACTATATATTTTTTTATTCATACCATAAAACAAATGAATTCATGTAAGATGTTGCTGCATTTGGAGAGCTTTAGATTTACTGTGACAGTCACTCAATTTTCTCTTATTTGGAAAATCATAGAGTGGTTTGGGTTGGAAGGGACCTTAAAGATCATCCAGTTCCAGCCCCCCTGCCATGAGCAGGGACACCCTCCTCTAGACCAGGTTGCCCAAAACCTCATCCAACCTGGTCTTAAACACTTCCAGGGATGGGGCATCCACAGCCTCTCTGGGCAACCTGTTCCAGTGCCTCACCACTCTAACAGGGAAGAATTTCTTTCTAACACCTAATCTAAATCTACCGTCCTTCAGCTTAAACCCATTACCCCTTGTCCTGTCACTACACTCCCTGATAAACAGTCCCTCACCAGCTTTCCTGTAGGCCCCCTTCAGGTACTGGAAGGCTGCCATTAGGTCTCCCCAGAGCCTTCTCTTCTCCTGGCTGTTTCTATGCTGAATTTCTCTTTTAACATGCAAATGCAAAAATTGTAAGCATTGCATTTTAATGTATAACTAAAACTCATCAGTCCACAACTGCAAGAATGAACATTTCACATTTATATTTGCAAGGCATTTGGGGCAAGTCAGTAAGAAAAATACAAAAACTAAGTAAAATTTAAACTTGACAACACACAACTCTAAATGTAATCCAACAAATAACGATCAATTCTTCAAATAATTTGTTTCAACATGCTTCAATGACAAAAAATATTTCTTTATAAAAAAGTGATTGGGCTGTCTAACAAACTAAACCACAGCATCCTTTTTCCCCTAATACTTTTACGCAAGTATGAACTTAAGCCATGTTGTGCTCAAATTCAAAATTGTTTAAAGAAAAACATCTTTCCAATCAAAAAAAAAAAAGAAAAAAAAGAAAAGAAAAGGATTCAACTTAATTTAATTACATACCTAAACATGAGCTGCAAAATCAGGAGGAGGCTACCCATAACAGAAGATATAAAGTGCTATTAGAAGACAAAGTACAGACCTAAAAGACTAATTTAAAAATCCTAGCTATCTTGTTCAAAAAGTACTACCTCTAATTTCTGGGGTTATGATGTCTAAATCAAATATGTCTGTCATACAGTTAGCTCTGTAGAAATAAGAGGAAGCTAAACTACTCAACAGTAACTTAGTTAAATGTATTACTTACAATCTAACGGTTCTGAATTGGTCAGGTGCTTTTTAAATTGCTCATTCAAGTCCTTGCTTACACCAATATCTTGGAACATCCGCTGCAGCTTGGAGGTATACTCAAAACCACAAGCTTGCTGTATTTTAAAAGCACAGATACGTCAACAAGATATATTTTTGACATTGCAGAATGAGAAGAACAAAGTATTGGAGCCTATTTTCTTAAAAGAAGATATACAAAGTTCAGTATTTCTCTTACTCAAAGTACTGATCCCAGCTAGTCCAGCTCTTCAAGTGTTGTCAAAAACTGAAGAAAATTTTGTTTAAAACTGAAGCAAAACACACAATGAAACAGACTACTAAAAGAGTATTAGATCATATTTTGCTTGACCCTGAATGAACAAGGGTTAATGAAATTAAGCAACTTCTCAGCAGTCATTCCCTTGGGAAATTATACCCATGTCATTCATTTGTATAAGAATAATTAAGCTTAACTGCATGGGACAGACATGCACTACAAGCTCCTAGGAGGTTAAAAAAAAAATACACAAGTTGCATATTTTTCTATTGTACATAAAATAATGACATGAAAGGACATACACCAATGCTTTCCAAGGCAGCCTGAAGACCTGCAATATGGGAGGGAGATCATGGGACAGTAATGGAATACTCACTTTTAGTTTAGAGATCATGCTTGCCTCAGCATCATCACTAGCACTGTTCTGATGTACGAGTCTTTTTGCCAGCATTTTAGCATAGAATTTTTGAAACACATCTTTATCCTCAATGTACTTGAAGACAACCATCTGGAAAAGCCAAGATAACTTGTAAGAAAAAAGATATTGAAGCATTTATCTTCAAAAAGCTGTAGCAGTAACTATTTCATTTGCACTTAAATTTTTAAAGGCAAGGGTCTGGGGTTGGGTTTTTTTGGGGGCGGGGAGGGTATAACGTGGTGGTTTGTGTTTAAAACAGTATCCACATTTAAAATAAACACATTAACTGTATATTCCACATGTACAGCCTTATATATGAAAAATATGTAGTATATAAAAATTAAGTAAAAGCATGAATTCCGTTTAGCCACTTTAAATCTCCTGTAAAGGGCTTTTTTTTTTTTTTAATTAAAAAGAATACAAGCTACACAGAGATGAAGATTATTACTGAAAAGTTGAAATACTAAATAATGAAATCAAACATACAAAATAAAATGTTTTCACTCATCTGACTTGTGTGACAATCAAATATTACTAACTTGTCAAAGCTTACACAGAACTGTATTTATAGACATCTTACCACTTGATTTAGTGTATCTTCCAATTCTGCTTCTTCTGGATTCTTTGAGCTGCAATTAAAGAAGCACATTTTTAATGAGTCCCAAAACTGCTGAATTAAAATAACATATGGATGTATATGGAAATTTCATAAATAAAGGTGTAAGGAAATGATCACTTCTCTTCACTACTCCACATGTAAGTAATTCTGAAGTACGTGATTTTTAAACAATAGGCTGTGTCCTGGACCATGAATTGCTTGGGACTTCCTGATAGCCTGATACTGCTCAGGATTTATGGGCTTAAACATGGATCTCTCTTCCAGCCTTTTTTCTGCTATTAAATGCTATCTTCATTTCTTATCTTAGGCAGTACAGTGAAAAGAAAACAGCTTAGAGAGCTGGGTCTTGACTGGGTGGGAGCTCAGGTGGCACCACATTGTTTTCCTCCATATCATACTTGTCAGTCAGGCATACCTCAAATCTACCCTGCAGAAAGCTAGTATTTATAAAGGGGAAAATAAATCCTTTGCTGAAGGAAGAAGGGGATGGGGAAGGGAACAGCTAACAAGTTCTTCTGGTTTGGTGGTGGGGTTTCTTCCTCCCCCAAACCAGCTAGAAAAGTTGCCAGTGACAAAACTGACACCAATCCAGTATAAACTGAACTGATACCAACTCAATGTATGAGCTGCTGAATCATTTGAAGCCAAATACCTTAAATTATGAACCACGAGAGGTTAAGAAAGCAGTTTTTGTCCTCCTCAATTTCTGCCCAGATAGAAGAAGATAAAGAGAAAACCACAGGAGGAAAGCAAGAGTTTTAATGGAAAAAGGGAATATGCATCTCTTCTTTATAACATACAACACAACTCAAATTTTGAGGAAAAAAGAAAAACCTAAAAACCCCTTCTGATTTATTAAAAAAATAGAACTTAGTTTCATATAAGGTCTTAGATCTTTTATTATCTCTCCCTCTTCTTTAAAAAAGAAGAGTAAACTCCACACAATATTTAGGAACGGTCCTATTGAACTTTTTGTATTCAGAATTTTGTGTAATTATTTTTTCTTGAAACACTAAGTTCTGTTTCTGAAGACACAATATAAAACTTCATATGCTAAAACCTTTTACAATAAAAGCCAACCTGAAATAATAATTTGTCTTTGAAGACGTACCTTTTCTTTAGTAAAGAGTCACAGTATCGTGCCAGTAGCTCTGGAGATTTACTGGATGATTGAGCCATTTTTGTTACTGCATTATTATTTATAAATCGACCACAAGCCTATAAATCACAAAAGACAGTGAAATTTTGGGAGACAAAACACTGAAGAGGAAAAAAAAAAGCGTTCACTGTATGCCACTACATATACTTACTTTGTCTAACGCAGCCACAAAGCCAGCATCATTATTGAATGCAGACATGACTAAAGCATTGTATTTCTTATGGACATCCAACACTGTCTGTACATACATTTTTGGATCCTGCAATAAAGAGAGATTTTTTTTGCAACCTGTTGACTTTCTGCTTTCTTCTTTCTCCAAAATGGAGCTACTCACTGGCCTAAGCAAATTTTTATGGGAAAAGTAAAAGTATTAGAAATATTTTAAAGCTAAAATTGTATCCAGACTAGTTTAGGTCCTATGTCCAGGACTGACTTACATTAGCACAAACTTTCATTTACAGCAACGAGAGTGCAGAGCGTACTACATTATATAATATGAAAGACAACAAAATCACTTACTCAACCATTGCAAACATTTCCAAGAAGGACATTTTCTAAGACATAAGCTTAATTCAAATCAGACCTGAGACAGCTGGACGATCATAAAGTGGCAGTTGCTATAGAAGAAACCCTCAAAATAAATCTCTGCAGTAAGAATGTGTATCCTCAATAGGTACAACTTAGTACAGAGACCTCAGTCATTGTTGACAGTTCTTAAAAATTATCCGCTCAACACCCAGTGCAGCCAAATGCCACTGAACATCAAGTTTATGGCACTCACAGACTGAGTCCTATGTGCAATTACTGACCTCTGCATCTCAATAAATATAGAGTGGAGTCAGAGTACGAACAGTTAAGGGCAACTAAAACACCAGGCAGACAGGGTAGCTACCATGCGCCAGACTAAAAATCTGGAAGTCTTCAATTTGGAGATCAGAAGTTTGAAAGGGCATGTGACCGAAGTTTACAAAAATCAGGAGGATGTCAGAAAAGATGAACAATCACTAAAAGCCACATTTTATAACTACAAGGCACTTGACAAAAGTGATAGGAAACAAGTTTAAGATGGATAAAGTAAAGAACATCTTTACATATAAGGTAGCAGACTTCTGGAACTTGTTACTACAGGAGGCTGCTGGAAGCAGGTATCAGCAGGTTCAAAAATGGATTAGACAAACTCACAGGCAACAGGTCCATAAACAAAAAGGACCGGGCATGGAAGTATTCCTGTAACATTCCTGTTGCAAGAGTTCTAGATGCTGGCAACAAATAGCAGAAGATGGGCAGGGCTGTATGAGGATCCTGAAACACTTTTCCTGTTGCCACTGAATACAGACATAGACTCCATGGACCACCAATCTAAAGATGTGCTTCAGATAAAGAACTGAGATTACTGAGAACCTCCCAGACAAGAAACTCAAGTAGACTTGAAGGACATTCAGAAAGGCATCTACTGATTATAAGGACTCAAAAAAACCCCCAAAAAACAACCAAATCAAAACCCAAAAGGCACTAAAAGCAGTAATCTGACTGAAGAGCAGTCTTGTTAATATAGTTAGTGGAGTCTAGAGGACAACCCATTCTGCAGTAAAAATCTAAAAAAGGTCAGATGAGTCAAGCTGGTAGGACTATTTCTCTCCCACTGACTACAGAGAAACTGAGAAGCTTTTGCCCAGCTGACTATCTGTTTAGACAGAGTACAGATAAATGAAGTTAGGCAGAATCAATCCTACCTACGTGTGACAGAGGGCTAACAAGGCAATGATGAATATCAATATGGTGGAGTGAAGGATACTGGAAGATCAGGCAAGACAGTTCCCAAGGGAGACAGACAAAGAACAAAAGAGAAAGATGAAGAAACAAGAAGTGTCATGATCAGGAAGAGTTTTGCAAATGGTTGGAGTCAAAAGAACCAATACATACAAATCTCAGGCCTGCCCTCTCTCAAAGATGAACTCATTCCTGGAGAAAGAACTTTCATTTTTCTGGGAAATTCTTCGAGGTCTAAGTACAAAGAAACTCAAGAGAGATGACCACTAGTGGGATGTGACAACCATGGAGCACATGTGATTTCAAAATTTAAGGTGATGTTTACAAATGAAGCTGAAGATTCCTAAAATTACTTCATGATTCATAAGAGACCAACACCACTAAAAAGCTATGCACTTAAAATTATATTAGTGAACAGACACTGCACACATGTAAAACATTTTAATCTGTGGTAAAACCTAAAGTTTTTACTGTTCTCTATGCAGTCATTAGATTACTACTTTAATGATTACTAATATGAAGCTATTTCAAGAATAGCTGAGGCCAATAACAGGTTCAAATTAACTCTTTCAAAAATCAAAGTTAAACCTAATTTTAAATAAAATTTACCAGAATCTATATTCTATCCTGATTTTGCTTCGTATGTTTCAGTCTATTTTTTATTTTTGCTAGAAATAACATCTAGCATACAGACAAAAAGGTTAGGAAAGGGTTTAAACAACTTCATGTTGCTGAGATTCAATCCTAATCAATAGAAAATTAAGTCTGAAATTACAATTATGGGATAAAATAAAGAAAGCCAATTATATGATTAAATGACCACAGTGTTGCAGAAGACATGAACTGCTCTTTATATTGTAACCTCTCCAACCATTTCAGTTGTCTCTTCCTCTTACATTTTTCATGCTTTTCCAAATAAAATAAATGGCATATTTACAAAAAAAATAAAATTAACAAAAACTTTCTCCACATGGTCTCATCCAAGTCAAAAGTCTATAAGATGATGAAATAAAATACAGCCCACTGGAGATAAAGCTTCTTGAAACAGTGGACTTCCAAGTGTATTTTTAAGTCTATGATGTTGTATTTGCATGGCCAGCCTTCTAAGCAGCATGACATCCTGACCAAGAGCAAAAACGGAGAAGGAAAAAACCAAAGAAAAAACCCCAAACAAACAAGCAACCCCAAAGCTCAAAGAGTAGTAACACAGTGATATGACTGTTGTTTTAAGCCTACTATCAACATTTGAGAATTCCCTAGTCCTCACAAATCAGTGACAGGGAAAACATAAACAAACTGGAAATTATATCAAGAAGCATACACTCTCCTCTAATGTAAAACTGGCAGCCGCCACACACAGACTTATTTTGATGGGTTACTTGCATTTAGAGCAGCTTCTCCACATTTCTCAATTGCTGCTAGACCCTGATTATGAATGTGGGTTTCCAAAAGTTTTTTCAGCTCTCCAAGGCCATCCTGGATTCGAGATACAAGGTTATACATGCGTCCCAAGTCTGGAAAAAAAAAAAAAAGGAAAGCCAACATCTCCCATTTGTACTAGCTATGACTCCAATTTCTCATTTACAAGTTGACAATAGGAGTTAAACATCCATCATCAACAAAAACATATGTGCAATCGCTCCTGTAAAAAGCCAGAAAAAACCTACAGCAAAAAAGTTGCACAGTATGGCAAATCTTTTCACTAACCTAGAAAGCTAAGACTAGTTAAAGAGAAAACAACCTGTTAAATGTTAAGATCTGTTTTACCTTCATAATGCTACATAAATCTCAAGAAGAAAAAAAACAATTTAAATTATAGAAATATATTTAATTCTAGTTTTCATAAATTTAAAGAGGTGCAATGATTTTAAAAATGGAGTTAAACCCCTCCTATTTAGATGAAGTTTTGAAGTGTTACCATGAATTAGGACTGTGATTAGTGTTACTGCTGGCCATGCCAAGAGTACAACATTCTCCAGGTGACCACTGTCCTTTAAATCTTATTCTGAACAGAACAGTTCTTAGAGATCTACCACCACCTGTAGCCTTTTGTATATTAACACATCTACTTGGGGCAGCATCAGTGGTAAGGGTTGGAAATTAAAGGCAAAATATTATGTATTGATATGACCTTAGCAGATAAACTGAAACATTATAAACCAAATTTCTGCCAATAAAGCACTGTCAATAAAGCCATCTCTTAGAAAAATATTTAATAAACTGATTACCAGTAAAAATAATTGTGTATCAAAGAAAGAAAAGGTTCTGAAAAGCATTACCACATAACAAAACTAACAAAGATAAAAATAAATTGTACATCATTTAATATAAGGCTTTAACATATGCGAAAATCTCACCAGTTTTAAGCCAAGACTTTTCAAAATCAATTAGTAATTTCAGAAAGTGTAATATTGAAGAGCATTTTGGTTTTATTATTAATTTTCAACAGTGCAGATGCTTTGTACTAAATGCAGAATTCTCTTAAAAAAAAAAACAAACCACACAACAAACCCCCCCCAAACAAAACCAAACAAAACCACAACCAAAACCTTTTAATATGGCCACAACTACAGGCTGGGCGGGGAATGGATTG